ACCCCAAACCCACTGCCCATTGAGAAGTCGCAGGCAGCTCAGGGACCCCAGGGGACTGCCCCCTAGGGGTTCCGCAGCCTGGTCCTTATGGGAGCAGCTGCCACAGCATTCCCACGGAACTCCAGGGAGGTCGACCCCCAGATCCTTTGATTTACCGCTGGGCATTCACCACTGTGCCACCAGGCACCGTTGACCTTCTCTGAAAACAAAACAAACCCTCGGGGCCATCAAGTTAATGCTGACTCAGGACCACCCTATGGGACAGGGTGGAAGCACCCCGTGAGACTGTAACTCTGGCCGGGAACAGAAAGCCTCATTCTCCCCAGCAACGAACGGCTGCTGGTTTTGAACCGCCAACCTTGAAGTTAGCAGCCCACCGGGCAACCACTACGCCACCCAGGCTCCCTGATAGAAGTTAGTTCATTTGTTGCCCGTCCCCCATCCCCACCTCCTGGGATAAAAGGTCCACCAGGACGTGGCTCGTCCTGTTTCCTGCAGTTGCTCCGGCATCTAGACTGCGGCCGGGCACGGGGAGGGCACAGCAGAGACACGTGTGGAATGAATCCACTCGCCCTCCCGGGAAGGACGGGAGAAGTGGGAGGGAGGGTCCCCGGCTCAGAGTGTAAAGTCTCATCGAGGGTAACGATGACAAGAATCTACAGATAGCCTCCTCCCTGGGGGATGGACAGCAGAGAAGTGGGGGGGGGGGAGGTCAGACAAAATATTAATAAGCTATGAGTTATGAAGGGTTCATGAGGGAAGAGGATGGGAGACGGAGGGGGGAAATGAGGAGCCGCTATTAAGGGCTCCAGTAGAAGCCAAATGTTTGGAGAAGGATGATGGTGACAAGTGTACACATGTGCTTGACACAATGGATGTGTGACTGGATTGTGATAAGAATTGTATGAGCCCCTAATAAAATGATTTAAAAAAAAATCTCATACTCAGACGAGTTAAGAGCCAGAGAAGCATGTAGGTTTTGCCAGAGTTCAGAGCTTGGCCAAGCAGAGAAGGTGTGAAGGAGGCGGCAGCAGGGATGCCGAGTTTTGAATAATTCATAGAACTCCTGTTAAGACCGTCTGAATCCGATGAGCAGGTTGTCTCTTAGCACAGCCCTGAGGGGAGGAGACACAAGGTGAAGTGACTGACTGAGAGAGAAGACACCGCCTGGCAGGGCCCGGGTTTCTGGTGTCCCCGGGGCTGCGTACGTTGGCAGAGATGAGGAGAGGTTGGAGGAGCCCCCCAAGTGACCCCTCGTCTTGGCTGATGCACGGGCATTGTGGAGGGTATCGAATAGAGGAAGACAGAAGGGGAGATCAGAAACTTTCAACCTTCATACACCTGCTCTAGAACGCCTCGCCTGGTCCGTGCATGTTGGGAAAAGCTATGCAAAATCAGACGTCTTGCATGCATTCGCTCACACGCCTAGCCTGGTCATTCTAGGTCATTCTGCGGGTGTCCGTCCATCAGGTCTGTCCCCTCCTTTCTCACAGCCTCTGAAGTCTCTATTTCAGTCTCTCCTCCCTCCGCTGCCCAGCAGGCAGGGAGCACAGCAGTGCCCTGCACACGGCTCCCGTGGCCAAGCGTCAGCGCAGCTACAAAGCAGGGAATGCAGACCAAAGCCACGGGGTGGGGGGGGGGGGGGGGGGGGGGGCGCGATGGGGAGGGGAGCAAACCCTCCAGGCGGGTTTCAAAGGCTGTCTGAAGGAAAGTATCCCAGGTGTGCTGCTGAGAAGGGCGGGATGGTGGGTAAGAGGACGGAGCAGGAAAGGAAGCCAGGCAGGAGGGGCCAGCAGGGGCCGGGGTACTCCTGGCAGGTAGGGGTCTGGCAAGCAAGGTCAGCAGTGAGGACTTCAGAAGCTTCCATCCACCTGGCCTCTCACATCCCCGCTCAGGGTGTGTGTGTGTGTGTGTGTGTGTGTGTGTGTGTGTGTGTGTGTGTGTG